GTAATCCTAGCTACTCAAGAGGCTGAGATCTGAGGATTGCAATTCAAAGCCAGCCCAGGCAAGAAAGTCTGTGAGACTCTTAGTAACAGAAATTAGTTTTTGTTTTTTTTTTTAATACTTTGCTTATGTGGTGCTGAGGAATCGAACCCAGGGCCTCAGGCATGCAAGGCAAGCGCTCTACCACTGAGCCATCTTGCCAGCCCTCTGTGAGACTCTTATCTCCAGCAAACCACCAGAAAACTGGAAGTGGCCCTGTGGCTCAAGTGGTAGAGTGCTCGCCTTGAGCTCAAGAGCTCAGGGACAGCCCCATGCCCAGAGTTCAAGCCCCATGACTGACCCAAAAAAAAAAAAAAAAAAAGGATGTGGGAGGAAAGCAATTTCTTTCCTTTCTCTTTCTCTTTTCCTTTTCCACGAGTCCCTGACTATAGGCACCAACAAGACTGGTACCCATGGGCATAGCCATTGCTTGTAATTTGTCTCACCTTCTGGAAGGCGTATTTCCATGGTGCTCCTGGTAGCACAGAAGACTCATGGAAACTTAGGAAAGTTTTCTTTCCTAACCGACTCATTCTCAGTGTCATTTGAAAAGCCTGTCGCCATCTGAGTGGCCCCACAGCCAAGGCAAGTGGGGAGGGTAGAGGGAAGGAGGCCTGTCCATAGACAAGCCCACCTACCTCCCTTTGCCTTCTGGGATCCCATGGCTCTCTGGCAGGTGTCAGATGGCTTGAGCAGCAGTATTGCCAGTGTTTGTTTTGCTTTTTTCCCCTAGCCATATGGATAATATGTTTTATACAGTCTTGATGGAAGAGGAAGTCTAAAAAGAATCATCCTGCATACTTCCTGAAAATAGAACATTTCCAAGAATCTATTATAACTTTTCAGGCCTTATCTTAACCAACATGAATGCACATTTTCTATCATAGTTCATGAGAAGTGCAGTATTAAAGCATTGCCATTTCTCAAAAATGTCATCCAAACAACAGAAAAAGCAGAGAACAGTAAGCTCTTCCCTTCCATTACATTCCACCTGTCCTTCTTTCCCTAGGAGGCAGATGTTGCTGAGAAGGTAGCCTAATCAGATTATTTCTCAGCTCAACCTGAGTGGTTAAAATACATGAAGTATGTGGATCAGAGTGGTCTGCATGCTGTCTCTCAATGCTCACTCTTCTTTGGTAGACTAAAGAAGTCATGGTCTCTTTCTCTGCTGGTTGGGCTGTGAGGTGATGAAGAAAAGATGAGTTTCAGATTCCCTGGGTTTTCAAACCTGGGCGTACAGCCCCTTCAGTCTGTGAGCTTCCATTTTAGCAGGTTCTGATTGTAAAGAAAGGGTTCTGGATTACAGGCTGTCAATAAACTATCCGGTGTTCTCAGTTCCACTGTAAACTAGAGTCTTCTCAGCTTGACTTGGCTATGACAGTCCACAGAACTATAAAACACATTGTCCAAGGTTGGGTAAAAACACCTGACAGCACTAGCATTTCCCAGATGCTCTGCAGTCTAGAGTCTACACAGCCACTGAGGGGGTAGGTCAAGGAAACCAGGATGTGTTTGCCTTTGTAGAGACATTTGGTGGCAACCAGGAAAGAGCTGAGCAGAGAAGCAGCAGGGTGTTCTGCTCTACTCACTCACATCAGACAGTACTCTGGCAAAATATCAGGAACTGTGCAGCCAGGGGAGGAGAATTAGAGGCTGCTGGGGGTGGGATATTAAGTGATGGTAATTATAAAATACATAATATGAAGGACTTGACATTATTTCCAAGAATACTTTGGAGTCACCCCTCTATTTGAGCTCTCTTTCCACCCTTACTATTCCTTAGTATTGGCCAGTTTGGAGGCTTGAACTCCGGGTCTGGATGGTGTCCCTGAGCTTTTGCACTCAAGGCTAGTGCTCTGCTACTTGAGCCACAGCTCCATTTTTGGCTTTATGGTGGTTAATTGGAAATAAGAATCTCATGGACTTTCCTGCCTGGGCTGGCTTCAAACCTTGATCCTCATATCTCAGCCTCTTGAGGATATGAGCCACCAGTACCTAGCTCACCCTTGGTATCCTTTTGGCCTCGGAAAATAGTTTTTTTTTTATTGCTGAGCCTAGATAAATCAGAACTACAGTTCATTCATTTAATCAATAGACTACTTGTTTACTGGGTACCAGGCTCAAGGGGTGAAATGGTAAGGAAACACAACTCTAACCCTCAAGGTGCTTGCAGTAGTGATTCTAACACATCTACACACCACTTTGGCTAGGAGAGGGATCCAATTTGATGGAGCTATTCTGTGAATAATTGCCCTTCTCCCCATGTCAGAAGTCTCCATGCCTGGAACAACCTACTTCTTGCTTACAGATGTCACAAGAAAGGAAGGAGACAAATAGGCAGGTCATTTGCCACTTTGAGGCTTTCTAACCTCATCAGGTAGCCTAGGCTCTGAGAACTAGCTCTGGTGTATCACTAGTGCCAGGATTGACTGTGAAACTCATGGAATAGCTTGGCCTAGAAGAGAAGAGCTATCTTTGAGAAGTGGAAGAGAAAGTGCTCCAGGAAATCAGATACCATGCTGTTGATGTTACAGAGCACAATTTAAATCTGTAAGAAAACAAATGTTCTGAATAGGAGCTTTCCGCAAATGAGGTGACCCAGTGAGATGAACTAGTAAGCACTCCAATTCTGGAAGACCTTTACCAAAATTGGCATGGGGTAGGAGATGAGCTCCTGCTGACTCCTGCAGCACTGCAGGAAATACACAGGAGTTACTCTGTAGGCCTACCTACACATGTGTACAAAGCCACGTATAAAATAGTATTCATTATAGTGCTGTTTAGAATGAGAAAAGACTGGAAAGTAACCACATATCCAGGGGACTGGTTAAATACTTTACCATACACCAGTCTGGTGGCTCATCCATTGTGAACTGTGGAAAAAAGATCTGTTATTCAACAGCAGAAGTGTGACACTGAAGTACACATTTAGAATGTCTCTCATGGGGGTGGAGGGCATGGAATATGTTCTCATGTTTACCTGGATTTGAGTAGAAGCAATCCAAAAGGATCCACGAGAAACTGATTCCATCACTTACCTCCAGAGAAAACTATGCAACTGTGAAGCCAGGGTAGGAGGGACACTGTACTCTGAACAGCCTTTTGAATTTTGTATCTTTTGAATTTTGCTTACTAGATACCAGTATCTTTTGAATTTTGAATAGCAACTATTAGCAGTTCCTTCCTTCCTTCCATCCTTCCTTCCTTCCTAACTTTTTTTTGTGCCAGTCTTAGAGCGTGAGCTGAGGGTTTGTGCATTGTCCCTGAGCTCTTTCATCTAAGGCTAGCACTCTACCACTTTGAGCCACATTTCCACTCCTGGTTTTCTGTTGGTTAATTGGAGATAAGTCTCATAGACTTTCCTGCCCAGGCTGGTTTTGAACTGCAATCCTCAGATCTCAGCCTCCTGATTATCTAGGATTACAGGCGTGAGCCACCAATGGCCTGCCATAATTTTTTTTTTAATTAGCCTGGAGGCTTTGGAGTGTGCTGAGTTGTTGCATCTGAAATGGCAGGGCTAAAGTAAGGGCTGCCTAAGGCTGGCCCTTTCCCCAGGAGCAGTGCAAGCCTATACTGGGGCAGTCTCTGGACTGCTGGGGCCTGAAGTAGAGGTGCCTCCCATTTCCTCCAGGAGACATACCTGTTGTGCTTCCCTGTGCTTTTGCTGAACTCGGGGAGATTTCAGTCTGTGTTAACAGGCAGTCTGAGGCTGGGTCATTTCTGTGGCTGAAGGAAAATACCTGCAGAGCTCTTGGCTTCAGGAGAGAAGTGATGCTTGCCCCATGCTCTTCTGCTGGGTGTCAGCTGGTCCTCTTTGTCTGCCAGCTGGAGGCCAGCTGGAGAGTTGTTTTTCTGATTGTCAGACTCAGGCTCCTTACTTGCACTTAGAGGAAAAAGCATCCAAGTCTGGGTACAAAAAGTCCTCTTTTTAATTTCTTTGGAAAAAACAGTGAATGAGCTCATTATCACTGCAACCCAAGTAGGAAGGAGAAGGGAGAAGGAGAAGGCCGTTCCTTCTCACTGTCTGGACTTGTCCTTGGTCAGGTTTTCCGGGGTACAGGGCTCAGACCTGGCCCAGAGTGACCAAAGCCAGATGGCTGGGACAGGTGGCCTGAACCAGGGGTGGTGCTGAGGACATATGGATGCTTTGGGGTCTGCTGCCTGTGCTGTGGTCCAGGGAAGGGGAGTATCTGTGTCCCTTCTCTCAGAGCAGAGCTCTATCCATGACTGCTGGCCTTCATGCAGCAAAAAGGGAGATTCCGGGGCTGGGAAGGTGGCTCAGTGGTAGAGTGCTTGCCTTGCATGCATGAGGCCCTGGGTTCAATTCCTCAGCACCACATAAGCAAAAAAAAGGTAGAAGTGGTGCTGTGGTTCAAGTGGTAGAATGCTAGCCTTGAGCTGAAGAGCTGAGGGACGACGTCCAGGGCCAGAGTTCAAGCCCCACGACCGACCAAAAAAAAAAAAAGTTTCCTGTGTGCAGGTGCCTTAGACATTCTCTGTACTCCTGAGGTGGCAATCACACAGTGTCAGTTTTCTGTAGAGTGTTTGCAGTTTGCCAGGCACAACTGTAGGCACTTGGGTGTGGTATGGAACAAAGCTGGCATAGACACTTCTCTCAGGGAATTTAAATTCTAGCTTGAGCAGTGAAGTATGCAGGGCTGGCCTAAGGTTGCCCCCTCTACCCACACTCTGCTAGGGCTGGGAATGACACACCTATGCCCAGAAAAATGCTCTTTGGCATTTTTATCAACTGAGCCCAACTTGTCACCATCTTACTCCTTCAGAGCACTTCTTCACACCTGTGGGCTAGGCAGGAGAAAGTGCTGTAGATGAAAGTTCTGATTGTGCGCATGTTGGTGCTAGATCTTCAAGTGTCCAGGCCTGGGTGACAGTGATGATAAGCTGGCAATGCTGACCCCAGGCCTGACTGCCTGTCCTCTTTGTTCCTCTTCCTTCCACTTCAGATTGAGAAGATCATGAGTTCCATCGGAGAAGGGATTGACTTTTCTCAGGAACAGCAGAAGATCTCAGGTACTGTACCAACCAGCCATTTCCCTTATGGACCAGTGCCTCTGGCTCTTTCGAGATCAGGTTTTCTTTCTGACACAAGACAAGTGTTGGAGGGGGGAGCGGGGGCAGCTGTAGACAGCAACATGCTCATACAGCTAAGGGTCTCCCATGTGTGGACAGCCACCATGCTGATATTGTTGACTCAACTCCTTCTGCATATTGGAGAGGAAAGAGTGTAAGGTGAATCTGAGACTGCATCTCAAAAGGAAAATGGTTTAATGATTAATTGTCACATACTCGCTATTTTTTAAGGTATGGGCTTTGTCAGATTGGTTCAAATTGCTCAGGGCGCCTTAGTGCTGGTACCCTCAGCTCCTGAGATGGTTCTGGAGCCAGCTTGTCATGATCACATGGTTTTCATCTGCCTCATCTGTGGCTGTGGCAGAATGTGGGGCTGGACCAGGGTTTCAAACTGTCTCCGTGTGTCAGCTAGTGAGTTGACTTTTCTGTTTCCTCCTGTGTCTGTTCCTGTTTTACAGTTTTCTCGGTCATCTGCCACCTTTACCACGTGTCACTGCTATTGGCCACTCTTTTCATGTCTGTGCCCTTGGGATGGGGTTTGTCTCCATCCCTGTGTGAAATGGGACCAGGGAGGCAACTGGGCTGGGCTCCCATGGTGATGGGGTCATGGTGTGTTTGTCTGTCAGGAATCTGTCTTTAAAGTGCCTGCCAGGGCAACTGTCACACCTGGAAAATAGGAGTGTCTATTCTCCTGGCTTGTCTCATCATCACTGCTCTCCTCTTCAGTCTTGAGAGCTCTCCTTTTAGCCACCTTGCTTCCTGGGTTCTAGCAGAGGGGCTGTGCTGAGTTGGGCCCTGCTTGTCCACTCACTAGCCTGACACATGTGGACTATGCCGTCACCCACATAGCTCTTCTGGCTAGGAGCCTGTGGAACCTTTTCCAGGCAGATTCTTGCACTCTACCGAGTGATCTCACACTCTACTGTCCTGTGCAGACTCTTCCAAAGGGCAAGTGTTCTGATGGAAATAGTTGTTCAGAATTGAGGCACTGAAGCTGTGTTTTGGGAACAGTCAGGGCTGGAATGAAGAACATTCAGTTCAGTTGAGGCCACCGTCTGCTTTCCTGTCCCCTCTGTGTCCAGGGAGCAGTAACTGAAGTTACTTGTGGTGTCTGACTCAAAACACCACATCCTTGGATGTGACTGGCCAGGAGTTGTGACAGCACCTATGGAAGAGCCTTCTCCTGAGCTGGCTAGCACTGAGCTCTCCCTTACAGTCTAGTCCCACCCATGGGAGTTTGAGTGATGTTGGTTCTGGACCTCACCACAGTTTGTCTGAATGTTTTCCTTCCTTCCTTCTGTCCGTCCTTCCTTCCTGCCTGCCTGCCTTCATTCCTTCCTTCCTTCCTGCCTTCCTTCCTTCCTTCCTAAGTTCCTCCTTTTTTTCTTTTGTACTAGTACTGGGGCTTGAACTCAGGACTTTGGGCTTTCTTGCTCATGGCTGATGCTCTATGGAGCTACATCCCCAGTCCTGCACTTTACTGGTTAATTGAAGATGGAGTCTCATTTCTGCACAGGCAGCTATGAACTGCGATCCTCAGATCTCAGCCTTCTGAGTAGCTAGGATTATAGGCATGAGCCACTGGCAGCTAGCTTACTGCTTATTTTTCTGAGCTATCCTCCCATACGCCCTGCTTAGGGAAATCTAAAGCAGGCACATGCTGGTGACCACCCAGATGGGAGTCTCTTGCCTTGCTGCAGGAGAAAGCCCCAGCATACAGTATCTACACCACTGCTGGGCCAAGGATCATAGAGAGGTTTGCTCATGCTTGGGCTCTGATTGAGCCATGAGGAGCTGTGCCCAAGTCCTCATAGAGAACCATCTTTTAGCTCAAACCAAAGCATTAATGACTGTCAACTTGGAGTGGTTGGCATTGGAGTTCAGTTGTCCTTGGGTTTGCAGATGGGGAAAAGAGGCCTACACTCCAACGCTGGCAGCTAGAAGAGGTGTGGGTCATGCCACAGGCCTCCTGAGCCAAGCGTGAGGCTGCTCAGTATGTCCAGCTTAGCAGAGGGTCCTTCCCTAAAGGGTAGGACCCAGGACCAGAGCCCTGCTCCTGTTTGAGAACCCCTGGCTGCCAGCACTGGATGGAGTTAGTTCCTTGAATCCCCAGCAGACATGTTTACAACTCACTCAACCCTCTGCCACCTTCTCAGGAGTCCAGGAGCCATAAAGCATTCCCTCCCCTATAGACCATTCTGGCTTCCTTCCCAGGAGGCCTGCTCTGTCAGGCAGAAGGGAACTGCTTCTTTTGCACTTGCTTTTGCTAAAGTCATCCAGGTTTTACTGATAAGTACAAGATCCTTCTGAGTTCTGATTGCACTGGACACAAAGCCTATTTTCTGCCAATGCCTGTCTGCAGCCTATTGAGACACAGGTGTCTCACAGGATACTACAGGGTGACACATGGTCCTTGTCTGTGTGTGAACTTTTTTGTCCCTCCCTAGCATTCCTGGATTTGGTCCTGGTCTCCCCTGGGCCTGGCTGTTCCTGTCCCTTGCTGTCACTTGCACAGTGTATGTGTTCTTGTCTGGGCATGGTGCTTCTCCTGTGGGCTCTGGAGAGCTTTGCCACCCCTTCCTCACCAGTTGTCTGGGACACTCACCTGAGGAATGTCAGGAGCAGCTGCCTTGTTTTGTTTCCTTAAAGTGGCAGGTGGAAAGGTTCTTTGTTTCTGGGCTATACCGTTAGACAGTGTCATTCCTCTGTCCCCTCTCTTGGCTGTCCTAGAAATTGTCGGCCAGAACAGCAGGAACCATCCCTCTCTATTCTCTGGGTAGGGGGTTCCTAGCCCCTCCAGCTCAGGAGTTTCATCATCTCCCCTCAGGTTTGCATTTGTATCATCAACATCACACACCGGGAACCTGTCACCCTGCTCTGATGCTGGTCTGCTTTTCTCCTCCCTCAGCAGTAGCAGCAGCGGCAGAGGCAGCGGCAGCTTCTGCTCCGATGTCCGATCCCTGATGTATTTTCCTGAGTATAGAAGTGGGGGAGGGAGAGAAGGGAGGGAGGGGAGGGGAGGGCCAGACATGAGAAAGAGCAAGGACTGTGGAGCTGGCAGCAGGCAGCGTGGAGCCCAGGAGCCTTTAGACAAAGCATTGTGCTGCAGCTCTGTGAGCACACATTCACCAGCAGCAGGCAGGACCACAGCTGCCGGACTGGGGGATTAAAGCAGGAATGAATCAGCAGCCGGGACCACGGGACTTCATGGACATTCAAGAGCCTGCCGCCTAGGTTCCTGGAGCAGTCTTCCCCGTTCAAGGACAGGGGCACTCCATGAGCCCCTAGACTGCTGCATCTAGAGGGCACTGGCTTCCTGACTACTATCTATTCAGCAGAAGACATAGGAGGAGAGGCAGAGGGTTTCTTAAGATAACCAAGCAACTTGCATTGTCCTGCCCTGAAGGGCAGAGTGCCGGAGAATGGCAGAATGACTTTGGCAGCATGACATTCATCGTGTCAAGAGTTCCTTGGAGGTGATGTTTTTGTGGTTATTTGTCCTGCTTTGCAGCTTCTTTTTTCCTCCCCTTTTCCCTTTTCCTCCTTGTACCTGTTCTTGCCACAAGAACCAGAGAAGTAGGTGGGGGTAAAGGCATTTGGCTCAGAACATCCAGGGAAGGGCTGAACTTGGTTCCCCTGCATCACCACAATCCCTGTCCTGACCAAAGAACATTGCAAATAAATGTCATCCAGAGAGGAGACTGACAAGATCCGAGACCCGGGAAGACAGCTGCATCTTTATCACTCAGCCAAAGAAAGAGCACCCAGAACGTGAAGAGACTTCAGCTGCCGCAGCTCGACTAACAGAGAACCGCTTCCTTTTCTCTCTTCTATCTGGTTGGGTTTTGTCTTCTTTAGTCAAGAACTGAATTCTGCCTGCTTGCTTTCTACTGGAGCAAGGCAGGCAAGTCACAGGAACAGCCACTATCAGAGGAAGAAAATGAACGCCCAGCCCCTGGAAGCCAGCCCAACCCAGGAAGGCAGCTCTTCAACCAGCGCCTGGCCCCAGAGATGCTCCACTCAGTGGCCACCAGTCTAGCCGTGGATGGGCCCTAGTCTTCTGGCCACACAGTCGGGTCGAACACCATGCTACTGTTCCAGCAGAGCCACACCTGAGCCTGGTCCTGCACCCTGGCCCTTGTGCCCCACTTGGCCCCTGGCTGCCTTGAGCCTCTGAGTACACAGGGCCGGGGCCATGGTTTGCTTATTCCGAGACTGCTGGGGGAAAACAAGTAAAAGTCTCTTTTCTCCCCCTGCCGTGTTCTGTGCTGCTTGTGTTGCATGTGCTGGGTCCTTGTGAACAGCAGCCGCTGCTTCCTTCCTGGAGCCCTCGCTGTGTGCCTGTGCCCCTCAGCTGCATGAAGATGTGTGCTCTCTCCTGACCAGTTTCTGCTGCAAGGTCACAGAACTTGCCCCCCAAGGGGCTCCAGAAGTTGCATGGATGAGAGGAGCGGCCAGGCTTGCAGGCCCTTAGGAGTTCTCCCGGCCCCCTCTTGTGTCTTTGGGGACAGACTTTGTGCCACGCCTCAGTGTGAACACTGATGAGGAGTTGCCCTGGAGACTGTTGGGGGTTGGCTTCCCCTGACCTGGGGGCAAGATCGTGCATGTGCCACAGTGGCCCAGGAGCAGCTTTGACCCCAGGGGTGTGAGTGGGCAGCAGCCGCCCAAGGTGGGGTAGTTGTGTGTGGTGCCGGGCAATTCTGTCCCTGGTCTGCACACAGAAGACAAGCTGTGTGTCTGCTGCTCTCTGGTCTCTTGTACTTAGTTTGGCTGCTTTATGGTAATGACGATGATGTGGCAGTGCCATCTGTCTTCCTCTGAGTGCCGCTGCTACCGCCTTAATGGGTTTTCCCTTTTCAAGCGTCTGCCGATTCCTCTCTCGTCAGGTTCTCGGACGCTGGAGCAGAGCGTCGGGGAGTGGCTGGAGTCGATCGGGCTGCAGCAGTATGAGAGCAAGCTGCTTCTGAATGGCTTTGATGATGTCCGCTTTCTGGTAAGTGCCTACAGGCCACTTTGCAGCCATACTGGTACTGGTACTCCTTAGTGCCTCCCAGTCTCACCAGCCCTGCTGGAGTTTTAAACTGTATGTAGCACTGTGTCCCAGGGAAGAGCTAACAGAGGTGATGTGGACACCAGGAAGTCAGCTGAATCCATGTGCCTGCTTTCCAGACATTGATCCCTTCTACCTCTGTCCTGACATCCATGAGAAGAGCTTCAGGAGCATCCCATACTCAGACCCTCACCCTTCACCATGCTCCCTCTCAGACCTCAGTCCACATGCTGTACCAGGAGCTTTGGTGACTAAACAACCAGATTCCCCCTGGTGACTCCATGTCCTGTCTCAGCTAAAGATCAAGAATTCCCAAAATTTGCTATCAGTGAATTATCACTGAAGCAATGGCTCCTTCTGGCCCATTCCCTAGATGGAGGCCAGCACTGCATGGTTTCATGTTCTCCTGGTCTCTGAGGTGCCTTGAGAGAGGCTGTTGCTTTGCTGAGGTGTCATTCCACACTCTTTGAGACTACAAGGGGGTCTCTCTGGCTCCCTGTGGAGTAGGGTCCCAGCTGGGACTCTGGGCTTAGGAGCTAGTGTTTCCTCCATCATCCTAAAAAGTGACTCAGAGCAAGGTTCCATCACTGTTCCTCCTCTAGAAGCTGGGCAAGGTGTGGCCTGGGCACGGGCCAGTCAAGAGCCTCCGCATCCCCACGAGTGGGCCTTTGACCGGGACTGCTGACGTTTGTGGCTGGTCTAGGAGGTTTGTGTGTTAGCTCAGTGACTTCCCAGCAGCCCTGAGGTGTGTGCTGATATTTCATGGCAGGAAGTGTGCAGAGGTTAAGTGGCTTGCCCAGGGGCACACTGCTAGTAATGGGCAGAGTAGAAATGCGCACTCATGTGGTCTGGGTCCAGAGGCCATGTGCTTACTGCCGTGTTACATGGCCTCTTTGTACAGGGATGTGGATGTGAATCATCTGGGAAGCTTGATTTGAGGTGGATCTAGCAATCCTCACACTGCCCTGATGCCTTTGTCCAGAAGGTCTGTCCCCAGCTCTTGCAGCCCTTTAGGATGTAAGCTGCCCCCAGAAGATGCTGTCAGCTGTGTGTGTGTGCTTTGTGCCTCAATTGAGAGGTAATGGTCTGAGCCAGCACCCACTCCCCGCCTTGCCCTCTGCATGCAGCAGAGCCAGGTAGGTTGAGTTTGGTGCCTGCCTGGAGAGGAGCCCTGACTGAGACTGCTCACCTCACTCAAGCCAGCTCTGCCTCCAGGACAGCAAGGAAGTCTGCAACAAACCACCCTCCCAAAGCCTGCTTCAGGCTGGTGTTTCTTCTGCTTTTAAAAATCTTTAAGTATTAAAATAGCCCTTTCTCTTTTTCTTTTTTTTTTTCTTGTTGGTCGTGGGGCTTGAACTCTGGGCCTGGGCACTGTCCCTCAGCTCTTCAGCTCAAGGTGAACGCTCTTCCACTTGAGCTACAGCCCCACTTCTGGTTTTCTGGTGGTTTATTGGAGATAAGAGTCTCATGGTCTTTCCTGCCCGGACTGGCTTTGAACCGTGACCCTCAAGTCTCAGCCTCCTGAGTAGCTAGGATTACAGGCGTGAGTCACCAACACCTGGCTTATTTTTCTTTCTTTTAAAAAGTTTAAGTATACTTGTGATTATTATGTCCTGACTCACCATGTTCTTTAAGAAAGAACAAACAAGTCAGAATGGGACAGAGGAGATGGGCTCAACCAGTGAGCAGGGCTGGGTAGCCCCTGACACTGAGGGCTTTCCCTGTCTGAGTGCACCCTTTCATCGGGCTGCACATTTGACGGGCAAGTGAGGGTGGTTGGGGATCACAGACTACCTTTCCAGTACTTCAGAGGTGCAGAGGCTGAGCTCTGAGTTCTCTCAGCTCTCTTTTGCTAATTTTGGAAAGGGTTAGGTTCCCAGCCCTTGAAAATCCCTGAGATTCCCTAGAACCGCCTCCCTACCCTTGCCTGGCCAGTCTAGAGAGTGGACATTTGGGGAAGTGTGGCCCTGAGCCAGATGTCCACAAAGGTGCAAAGCTCTGCTAGGATGTACTTTTCCCTGTTCAGAGGACCCTTGCTGCAGGATTCCAGCTGCACAGCCCTTCCTGGCCTTTCGTGGCTTTGGGTGTATTGGGTAGCAGCAGCCTACTGCTGGGCATGTTACTTCAGATACCTGGACTAGCATGAGTAGCCATGCTCAGCATCCTAGATAATTGCATGTCAACTGCCAGATGGGCCCTAAAGCTGATTAAGTTTTTGCAACCAGGAGGAGCAGGGGGAGCACAAGCATTATCTTGTTGCTTATGGTGTTTCTGTCGTGTTAGCTGTGGTTCATTTCTACATAGTTTGGTTTGCAGTAAGATATGAATATTCCCCTTGGATCTGAAATACCCTGGAAGATACTCTTCTGGATGCAAAGTAGGCTCCAGATGTGTTGGGAACATCTGGGGTACTGCTGTGGTGCCCTCTGACAGGAGTACAGGTTCCCTATGATGCCGTGCAGCGCCATCTCAGGGTGAAGAGACTTTACTGTCATGTGGTCTGCTTCTCCTTCCTGTGCCTGAAGTTGGATAATTTACTTTGCTGTCTTCCAGTGACCAGGATTTACCACGTTATGAAATTGCAGAGCATTCATTGCATTGTTCGGTCTTGATTCAGATTCTTTATATTGAGTCAAAATCTGTTTCATGCCTTCTGCCCATGGACCTTTTTTTTTTTTTTTCCTCCAGTCCGGGAGCTTGAATTCAGGCCTGGGCACTGTCCCCTGAGCTTCTTTTGCTCGAGGTTAGCACTCTACCATTTGAGCCACAGTGCCACTTTCTGGTACTGAGGAATAGAACTCTACCACTAAGCCACATTCTCAGCCCTGCCCATGGGTCTTAAGCTCACCTTTTGGGCCTCACAGAACACATTTAAGCCTTTTAGGAAATTGAAGGCTTCTCTTTTGACTTCCTAAGTCTTACATGGACTTAATTCTCTATTACTCTTGCCTTTTGGTTTGGAGGGGTCAGAGCCAGGGCAGTGAGGGTTTCCACTGATGGGACCTAATAGCCAGGAAGACATGCACAGGAGGGTGGTTCCCATATCTGCCAGCCTACCTAATGGCATGCCCATTGCAGCTCCCTTACCACCACATTTTTGTCAGAGGAAATGGGCTTTTTTTAGGATATAGCAGGAAATGCATTTAATCTGCACTAGTGGCTGGCACATGTGTAGCTCTGAGTTACTCCTTCAGCACTCACCTCCCAGCACAAAAGCATTGATTGCATACATGATGGTGGTCTGAAACTGGAGTATTATGACAGACCTTAAGAACTGTTTTGAAGGATTACCTGATATGGGTAGTGTTCATATTGCTGAGTGGAGAAATGGAGCCCCTAAAACCTATGCACTATGGGGTATGTGTGTGCATGTGTGTGCATGTGTGTGTGTGTGTGTGTGTGTGCACGAGCCTGTGCTAGGCCTGGGGCTTGAACTCAGGGCTGGTGTGTGTGTGTGTGTGTGTGTGTGTGTGTGTGTGTGTGTGTGTG